ACCTTTAACTAGTTTTACGGCTGTGGAATGTAACTTAACTTTGTTCAAAAAGTGCAGGGAAAACACAGAAAATGAAGTGCTTTCAAATTGAGGCATTTAAGTATCTCAATCATGTCAATAATAGGTGAAATTTTTTTCTTATCAGGCAATCAAGTGAATACATACTTTGATGTATAACCTTATTTTTATACATCTTTTCCTTCCAAGGCTACATCATGGGAATGCCGAAATCCAAAATTTTCAGAACGGAATCAGAGAACTTCTTCGTGTGGAGTTATGTCAAACCGTGGTGGCAGCCATGTATGTTTTTATTATTATAGCACGCTTACGTGCGTAGTCATTCCATATTTGGAGTTCGCATTTTCTAATATGGTAGGATGAAAATATCCCGTAAAATACTCGGTACAAAAGGTTCGGTCATTGTCACCAATATTAGAGTGACTCGAACCTCTTTCCAAAAATCGACCTCTCGTCGTCCATCCACAATGCCATATGCAATCTAATTTCAAATATTACTGTAACATTGTAAACATCAAGAAGTGGGAGGGACTACAAATATTGAAAATGTTCAAAGAGTAAATGTGAATACAAGTAAAAAAAATAGGATTTACTCGAAACAAACTAACTTAATTACTCAAAAATTAACAGTTATATAATCAATGTACTCACTTTGTATGTTTGGCGTTGACAATATAACTTGCTAACAGTACTGTCAGTAATGAGGTACCGGATTGTGAAAGATGACAGTGCTGTGACATCATGTTTGCTAGCTTAATATTATTGCATGTGATACAACAATAATTTGAGGTATTAACGATTTTTTTTTGAGAGTGTAAGGCAACTAATCAAGATTACGTCGTGGTAGTTTCAGTCGTGATTTATTCAACAGCTGATGTCATATGTGGGAATTCTTAACACGTTAATAAAGATCTGAACGTCAAATATTGCTTTAATAATGATTAAATTTCCCATTGTAATCTTAAATTATTGTTCTTGAATATTCCCCGACAGGCGTACAATAAATTATATTCCCATCATTGCAAATGATATTACTTTTTTAAAGGTATAGTTGCAGGTTCGTGGGCACTTGTGAGTGTTTTTTTCTCACATTGTAAAACATGGTGAAATAAAAGTGATAGCGGAATCTCCATATCATGCACTGTATATAACATTTTACAAAACGATAATAGGTTTGGATTTGTCACTTTTACAGCCATTTCAATTATGGGCATCAGCAATAGGATTATGCAAATTATCCATTATCTCTGTTTTTCAGTTTGCCCAGTACGTTCAAAAGTGTTTTTTCAAGGGAATTGTTCACAGTTGTTTATTATTGTTTATTCGCGATTCCCCGGGGAATAACTTATTCTGGAGTACTTAGTATCGAAAGTCGTTGAGCACGGTCAAACAACGCACTTTGTGACTCCGCGACCGATGCATGCTTGGTGACAAAGAGGTTTCCGATTAAGGTAACCAAGATGGCATCGCAAAGCGCATGATTTATCCGCGATTTTTTCAAAACATCTCGTTGTCGAGTTTGATGCAATTTCCAGGGTATTTTTCACAACGCACTTTGTGACATCGCGAACCGATGCATGCTGGGTGGCAAGTCAGGTTTATGTCTGCGAGGATAGTTGATCGCAGGATACCTGGACAGGAAGTCAAACTCTGACGCAAAAATATATTAAATTAAATCTAAGCTTAAATAAACTGAATGAGTATTCTGTCTGGATGAATTATAAAACTCTATGAGGTGATTTTAAAAATGTTCTAGCCTTAGTTGGCGGTTATTTTAAAGATAATTACCGATTAATGCATTAATATGTAAAACATGTAATATGTAATATGTCAAAACAATTAAAACAATTGCAGCTGTAGCAGTGAACACGGTGGGTTTTTACTCTGATTAACCATATTTAATGGATAAAAAACGAGTTTAACGCATGTGCCCCGTCCAACAAGTGCAAGGAAACTACACAAAACGAAGTGCTTTCTCTGAACAAAAACTGCCTTGAGGCAATTAATCTTAATCACACCAATAACAAGGTAAAAACTGTCTTACCAAGAACCACGGACCACACATTGTATTCTCGATCAGGGATCAAGTGAACAAATGAAAATTGTGATGCATACACGAGTAATCATTTTTAATTTGACATGTGTGGCAAAATGCGTTAGTGCACGTTATTATTATGATAATATTGCAGTTGCATTGTTGGACAACATAATTATTGTATATACGGGCCCGCTTGTTATTTGGTCGGTGAATCTAATAACGCTCCTATTTTATTCGAAATGCAATGCGCGAGGGCAACAGAATTGTTGTCTTCCACATCGTACACATCAACATTGATCTCACGTGTAAAATATCATAATCTCGTTTGTTTATGTTGTTGATACCGATACTTGATTATCCACGTAAAATAAAATAAAGTCAATGTCACATCGAAATTTACAATTACTATACAGTTTGTACTACTATTTGTTATTGGTTTAAATTATTCATTGACCTTAAAATGTCTTTAATTATATCCTAGTGGTTATGGGTGGTTATTTTGTTTATTAAATTTTCAAAACAAATATACATTTGTTTAACCCCGCATAACACAGGTAATTAGCATACGGTGACTATGGTGCTGTATCGTGTTACTGATGATACTGGATATTTGTGGTAAAAACGAAGTTCGACCAATCTGAAATCTCAGATCATGTGCAATGTTATAAATACCCTTTGTTAAAATATGTAAATCACAAGCACACCTGTCCTTCCAGAATTGACCTGTCACTCACCTTTACGGCAGTTATCACACGGCAATGCACACCGTTTCATCCCATAATTCCATGCACACTTATATTTGCAGGGTTTGAGGTAATATGACAAAAATATGCTGACATGTATAATGGAGTAAATAATTTGTTAGATCTGTTTCATAAACCCAAGAATACCATCTCTTGTTGTTTTATCATATCATACTAATATGATTCACCTCACAAAACGGAAGATAAAATGGAAAAACTCCATATTGAATTTGTGGGCCTAGTATATATTGTTTCTCTATATCCAAATAGCATCGTGATCAATTACACATGATTTTCAGTTTTAGTAAATGTTTCAGTATAGTGTAACTATTTGCGTGACAAAATTTAGCACTTGGGTAGCCCTGATTCCACGGCGTGGCTATTATTTACATTCTGCCTTTACGCTTTCCATGCAAACATCACCATTGATCCTGCTACAGTAGTGATGCGGCAAATTGGTACGCACTGCTTTTTTTAGCATCTGCACCCCAACATCCAACGTACATTTTATTTTATTACGTCACATATGTTGTCTTCAAAATGCTTGATGTTAACTAAATGATGATATACCAGTGCATCTTTTGTATCTTTGTGTTAAAACATTACTTTATTCATCTTAATCCCTTGACGCATAGGGCTGGGAGCTGCCACTGATGGCGCTGTATAATTTAGAAGTATTTGGTGGCTCGCTAAGGTTGCAAACGCAAATGTTGGGGGCGTCGCCCCTCCAAAATCAAGCTGAAACCCTTTGTGTCAGCAAAATTTGTCCCTCAAAGTGCAGGAAATAGCGTTTCAGAGGGTTAAATTTTTAAGGGGAGCATGCCCTGAACCCCCTAATAAGGTCACGCCTTCGGCGCGAGGTTGGTGAGCAGATCTCGCCCTCCTGAAAAATGTTGTGCCGTCGTCTCTGATAAGGAGCAGCCGCGCTTGTTAAATTTGATGACCAATTTAGTATTGTAGAAATCGTGTACATTCTTCTAATAACCACAATAGCAGGATGGAGGTCTAGGCCAAAAATATGTGCGTTTCACAAATAAATGTTTTGTTTGAATAATTTAACCAAAAAATAAAATAATATTCATAAGATATGTCTATGTCATAACCGCATTAAATCTATTGACATATTGTGTACACAGTGCACATGTTGGTCTTTTTATGTATTCCACAACGTGTAGGGATAACACATTTATTTCTGGAAAAATGTAGAATAAAACATAAGATACAGATCAATAACCCAAATTAATTTGCATAAATACGGTGACGGTGGGTATATACAATTGGTCCGCTACATGAAAATTGATCGGCTACTTAAAAATTGCTCCGCTACTTGAAAATCGCTCCGCTACTTGGAAAAAGTCGGTCTGATACATGAAAATCAATCGGATACTTGAAAATAACTTCGTTACATGGAAATCGGTTGGCTACAAGAAAATCGGTCAGCTACTTGAGAAAAAAATAGTCGGCTTCATAAAAATCGATCGGTTACTTGAAAATCACGATAACACAAATAATTTAATTTTTAAAGAAAACAAATGGGAAACTATATGCACTCCAGTGAGCTGAAGATGATGCATTCGTGTTGCGTATTTGTTATGATGCACTTTTAAAACTATATAACGGCATGGTCTGAAACTCGTATTTATATTTACTAAAAGCTTGCCACACGTACAATGAAGAGTTTAAATTTAAATCGAGCGAGGGCAATAACTTGACATAATCACAGAGCCTAACGTTGCGAAGAAGTACTACGTGTGATAATTTAGACCTGTTTTGCGATAACTTGAACATGCGTACTAGTGTATATTTTTCGCTATTATTTTAATAAACACTATTGTTGTTTTGCGATAACGTGCATACTTGTATACATTTTTCTCTGTTGTTGTAATTAACATTTTGTTGTTGTTTAGGAGTTAAAATGGTATAGATATCCATATTGTTTTGCAATTATAAGCCATGGTTAAATAGAGCATAATGCACAGTTATGGTGTTCCAAATAAGGCCGCAGAATATGAATGAAGTTCACTTCGTAAATAAATAAAGGGAAGGGCATTTAAATTTTAGGGAAATTTTGGGGTAATATTGATAGCATGAAGATACTATATACATATTTTATTTTTGCAGTGGTTAAATAAAAAAAATTGTACAATCTACAATTTTTGCATCCTATTCTGTGCGACATACTTTCGTTGTCTGCAACAGACATGGCCGAGTATCGTGTTCGGGAGCTGTCAGAGCAAGATTTTCTTGCAGAAACCGTCCAGACGGAGAGAAAGAAACGCTTTGCCAATTTTAATGAAATTGACCTTGACGATTTCGAAACACAGGCTAAAATGTATGCTACCGGCGGCAAAAATTGTCACGTTGCAGCATTTCAAAATGTATTTGTCCAAATTGCAAAATGCGTTGTTTCAGAGGCCCCGTGTAAATGTAACACCCACTGACACAGTCTGGTATTCGTGAAAATAATTTGAGATCTATGATGAAAGAGATTTCGATAGCAGCAAATTTGTTAACAATTCATACAAATCATTATGTTAGGGCAACTGCGTGCGCTGTGTTAGATTCGGCAGGAGTTGAACTCAGACACATTATGTATTTTACGGCACATAAAAAACGAAGCTAGTGTTCGGTCTTACACCAACAAACTCACAAATAATCAAGGAATGTCGAGTATCCTGTCTCGCAGTTTTGGGTATAAAAACAAATCATCTGATAGAGAAGTGACCGTGGCGATCGAAGCGGGTGTTTCCGACAACGTTATCCGTACCCCAGAAAACACCGGCATAGTAGCGTCTAGACCAACTCCCGCAGAATCTGGCACCGCTTCTATTTCTAATACCCACAATCAAAGTACACATGCAGCATCTGCTTTGTTCCATAACTGCACCTTTAGTGGACCAATTAATGTCAGCATAACATAAAAATAAAAAATTCGACAACAATAATAAGTCCACAACACGTGTTTTCAAAAATGGCGCACAATGTTCTGCTGATGATAATATATTCACGGCTATTCATATGTAAATTAAGCGTTGAGCTTGTTCAGTTCATTCAATTTCTAATTATTTGCTAGTTTCTTGCGTCGTGGAAATAAACTTCCTTTGATTGTGATGATATCTAAACTTGTGTTCTGTGCGTTTCTGTGTACTGAGCGCGAGTGTGTGATAAAAAATTAAATACTGGTTCCAGGGCCCATTTCATCTGATCACCGTGTCGACCAGCCAATGCACATTACACGTCGTTCGAAAACGACTCTTTCTTATTTTGTAAAAGGACGAGAGTGTCGAAAATGCTACAGAAATGAAGTTGGTATAATATAATAGCAATAACCCAGGCGGTGGGTTATTGCTTAAATAATGCATCATGTATCTGAATTCTGTCTTCTCATCGGTTATAAGTTTCACAACTAGTTGAGTCGGTGACTACCAGAATATTTCAATGTGGAAATATCTGACTGAAAACTGTGCACTCATGGTTATAGAAACACACGCTGCTACGACTCGTCCTAATTGGACGAGTTGTCCTGGGACACCGAGCTACTTGATAGGACATATTTCTTAGCTGCAATGATAAGGCTGTTTTAATCAAACTCCCAATACCATACTTCGTCATAGACTAATTAAAATTAAAGGTATATTGCATTTTAGATCATATTATGATTGAATGTACCGCAATAAAGACCAAACATCGGCCATGATATGTGCATGGGCTTCATGGGCACATTTTTTTTCTTGAAGATTTTGCTTTCTTTTATATTTTAGAAATCATGTGTGTATGTGATGTTCACCCCATGCTAGATAAAATTGTTGAAAAAAGACACACGAATTGCAGCATGTCCTCATAGCGTGTAGATGAGCTTTGTGTCGTGCCAAAAATATTTCAATTATTTTAGACAAGATATTGTTTGTTTGTGCATTAGTTTGGTTGATCGTTCTATCGCCTCAGCTTTGACAATCATACCGATTTTTTCAAATAAGTCATAAACATTAGTGTGCCCAATTTACAACCCGTAGCGAAATGTTGCGAATTCTGTGATATGAGCGTCGGCAAGGGGTATTTTCGTATGCTGTAATCAATTGTTCTTATTTTCGTAGTAATGTAATTTAAATAAATAAAAAAACTAGTCTAGACAAATCAGTTGTCGAAAGATCCATTTCTTATCTTCTGTATCTGTGCAGATTATACATGTCATGATCATCTCATCATCATGATTTTATACGACTATAGAACATGTCACTCTAGTTTGTTTTAGTGATGGATAAATATTATTATTATTATTATTATTATTATTATTATTATTATTATTATTATTATTATTATATGTGCATATTGTATGTGCATATTTAATTTGCATGCTTACTTGCTACAGTAATGCGCCATTTACGTTCAAAGTTAACAATACTGTACGCAATATTATCTACACTTTATTTAATGCGGTGTGCAAGTCTCCTCGGCAAGCATTGTTTATAGTAGAACACCGGGAAGTATATCACACCGGAAATGTAACGCACGTTAACGAGAGACATTAATTCTTGGCCTGAATTGTATTCAATATAACTGAATCAGATTTGTCGCAATGCAAACAGGTATATTATGATTATGATAAAACTGTCTCATGATATCACTAGTTTTAAATGCATCACATTTTCTTCATTCTAGTATGATTCGAATAGCTATTTACGACCATATTAAGAAAAGTGATTTACATTTTTACTAGTATTATTTACTATCAGTTTAATACATATGATATAATAATGGAGTTGATAATATGAAACCTGAACGTTGCATCCGACACGTATACAGTATATACAGTAAATGCACACAGAATATCAGTACATGTTATGAAAACAATTGTTTTAAGTCATCAAAACTGTTTGGCGCACATAAACGTAATTATCAGACGTAATCATCACACTGCGTATGATCTAAAAACGCAACCTGTATTGACAGTGGAGTGATTGACCAATGACAAAACAGATCCTATTGCCACAGTAAGCAAACGGTGTTCTTATTGGCTTGTGAAGAAGAGTATGTCATGTATGTAAATAGGGAAGTAGGCCAAAATAGGGACCCTTAAAATGTAATGTCTTCTGGTTTTGATCAGATATATTACATGACTGTTGACAAAATGTAAGTTTTTGCTTTCTATTTTGTGTAATCACGGTTTAGACTTTACCCGTAATTATGTCCAATATATCACAACCAAACGTGATTGCAACATAGTGGTTGTTGTATCCGTACTCGTGATCGGTAGACCCCAGTTCTCGCAGAACAAAACCGTCGTCACTTACTAACATGCATCTCATAATGCAATGAGGTCATTACGTCATTTTAAGGGTGTTACATCAATCTTCAAATATGTATAAGGCGAATGTGTCACATAATCAATAGCCAAGATGTGACTTTGAGGATAGTATGGTTTAGATGTGACGTTTCTACTGAAGATGAGCATATGCTAACTAAATATGATAGGTCATATCAGCATATTGATGCGTGAATTTAAAATTTGTTTTTGAATATTTCAGCTAATTGTTATCCAGATACAATCCTAAAATCAGATAAAAATAACGCAAATCGAATGTGATAGTATAATTATCTGCGAGCGATATTCACATTCTATTGAGGAATGCCCACTCACATACCGTCCTAGATCGTGGTATAGAAAAAGCATTTTTGATGCGTGGCAAATTGATATGCTCTGTTTTTCACCACGTGAATGATTGAACCTAGAAATGTTTCTGAAACACGCTTTGTCTGGCAAAAATATATACTTCTGATTTAGTGCAATTGTGTCAAATTTGTGTATTCAGGAAATCAAAGTTTGGTTATCGCATGCACATTCTTGCGCAGTGTACATATGGATGCAAGGGATCAACGTCCGACCTATATTTTATTAGGCCACATATGTTGTCATTGAATTGAAATATTGGGTTAACGCTAAACAAATTGGTATTGCCATTTATTAGCTTAGGTAAAACAATAATAATCATAATCATCCCGATTGCTTGATATTCGTGTATAACCTCATCAGCGTACTGCATTTTACTCTATATAATAATAATTTCCACTCGCCATCAAATATGCATGTATACAAGCCTCATATTGTGAAGGATACAAATCCTCCGTAAATTGATAGTACGTACATTCGATATTCTCTATCAAATATTAAACAGTTTCCTTGCAGTATTTGTCTCCTTTTGCGTGGAATCACGTTTTCCAACATAAAATCGGACATATACTATAGTACATTAAAATTTCAGTATTCAGACAAGAATATATTGGTTCGTAGGGATCGATCTAAAATTAATAACAATTTAAGATTTTCACCGACGACCAAAGTCAGCAACATTCCCATGTCATAAAATGTTGTGCATAATGTTGCGAGAGATTACGAATAGTCGCGAACATTTGTCACGTCTGTTACGGATATAAGTGCAAATGTGACTGTGGATTTATATCATTCATGTCCGTAGCTATAACATATCGCAGATTAAAGCGAAAACAATCTAGTACTTATCTTAAAGGTTTATATATGATGAAATGTCATTTTGAGGGACAAATGAAAAGAGAAAAATAAACGCTACAGTCACAAGTAAGTTTGTTTAGAGTTCAATGTATGCAAGTAGTACTGCTCATATTAGTTTTACAATTTTGAGAAATGTTTGTCAAACATATAGTATAATAAACTTAAATGGATTAAAATAATGGTGTCAACCAGTCAATTTTTATATTAAAATAGCAGCTGCAGATTGTGTAACGGTTTTAGTTTATTATTTTTCACACGCCGTACTAGTCTTTCATTGCTTATGGGCTAGCAGAGGATTATCTACATCGACACACAGCATCCATATATCAGGTTAGTATAAATTTGTATGTCTGTATTAATATGAATTTATCACATGGACTCCTATATCACCATTTTAAATTTTGCATGAGCTTTTGACAAAACCTTACTTCAACGTTCGTTAATTATAGTGTTTGACTGTAGCGGATTTGTTATGATATATGTGATTGTGAAATGAGATGGTGGGATATGTCAACCATCATATTGCGTGATGTGATAACAAACTTTAGTTTGCATTAACCGCCTGAAATATGCATCTGACCTAGTTCTGGTTCTTGTTGTTAGTATAATAATAAACTTTTTTGACAAAATTGTAACTTAGTACCCGGAAAAAACCCAGATTCACCCATTTATCCTCTTTGAACCAGAGATGCCATGTTCCATTTATAGTAGGACCTCATTAATCGAATATTTTCAACGTCTAGTTATTTCTAGTAAAGTATATTGAGAGAGTTGTCGTGTAGGTGGATACTTATTTGCAAACTCTATTTACATATGTATATCACATGCAGCTATATGAATAAAGTATCAAAATTAACATATTTCAATAGAAGTATTTCCGAGCGAAAATAGAGAACGCAATTTTTCAACGCATATTAATATTAATGTGTACTTTTAAAAAAGTAAAAACAGCTTTAATCTAAAAGTGTCTAAAAGATGTATTTCATTCTAAATAACTGATTAGTTATTATATATATAACACTTTCCACTTATATGCAGATGTAAATTATATCGCATGTGGAAATACTATTTGTTCTACTATGACAGATATTACCCAGACACACACAAACATACAAACGAGTTGTAACGAATGGATGACAATACAGAAACAAAATGTGGATAGTAAGTTTAAATCACATGATAGCATGGCAGTGGAAATCAATGCGGGACAAAGCCAATTTTAATAAATAACTAAATCAGATACAACTTTGAATAAAAAAAATAATCTTACACTATAATCCAATATATCTTCACATTGAATGTATATCTGCAACGTTTACACTTTTTATACACAGGTTTTCGGGCTAGTCAGATTATTGTATTCACTAAACGCACGTGGATGTAACATCAATATGGCAATATACACTAATTTCCAACGCCTTGCAGCAATCACTATTTGTATCATGATATTCTTATCATTGGTGGCCATGTACCAGGAGTTGTTGACGACGGTTTTCACAACTAGTAAGTGATATTGTTTTGTAACTATTGTGCCTGTATATTGACTTGACTGACTACGACCTCCAAATAGTTACGAGTAAACCAGCAATACCAGTACTTGATACACACATTTAAATCTACCTACTATATTATTACCAGTTTGTAGTAATGATTATTAATCTGCTAATTATTACAGATCCGATATGTGTGATAATGCATTATGTATATGTGTATCAGTCATTTGTTTTGGCTCGGTATGGTAATTTCAATTTACTACAATCACACATTGTTCACATTCAGTGTCTAGGTTAGATAAGTAAAATGTCAGCTGTTTGCTAGTTACAACATAGCATTATTGATTCCACATACGCGGTGGCTAATTGTTGAATGCGAATGTGGCTTGTTGATCGGAGTCATTGAAAAATACGATTGGTTGACAACTGGGTTCATTACCCACTACGCATTTCTATATCATAACTACTTCAATTAACGACATTGATTATTAGTTAGCGATATGTACCATAAATAGTACAGAGTTTCACAAATGAAGTTACTCAGATTTTGTGTTGTTATCGCAGAGTTCATAATCGACAAAGATGAACACCCTATAGTTAATGTGCATTGGAAGAATACAACAGGAAATCACATTGAGGTACATTCAATAGATATTTTCAATACTAATAATTTAATACAATACATTGAACTATACGCGGACATATGTGATTGGTAATTTGTTATCAAAGTGTTATGTATCTGTTTCTTACCATTCTATGCATAACCACAATCATATGAGGTCGGTCTTTGACATTACGGTTGTCATTCAAGTCAACACGTTAAATTAACACACCAGTTTACCTGCATTGAGTATTGGAACTTTACGTTTACTCTATATACATATACATATACATATACATATACACATACACATACACATACATATACATACACATACACATACACACACACACACATACACACATACACATACACATACACACATACACATACATACATATACATATACATATACATATACATATACATATACATATACATATACATATACATATACATATACATATATATATATGAAAATGAATTATACCTCAATCTTCTCAAGTGTTGTCTCTGTTTTGCAGGCTTTGGCAGAACCGACAAGTACCAACAATTCCTATGAATGTCTACAAGCTAGTCAAGAAAGACTAGCAACCGCCAAATGCGCGTGCGAGAAAAATAACATTACATATAAACGAGTACGACTCACCTACTTTGTCATTTCAAAAAAATACAAGTTCATGTTTGAATTAATACCTAAAGTATCATCCACAACTTGGAAGCGATACCTATTCGAAATTGACCCTGAGTGTCAACAGGGTCCCCGAAGCTTAGAATTATTGAATATAACGGAAGCCGATTTGGAGCATTACACCAAAGTGGTTTTTGTTCGAGAACCCTTAGAAAGACTTGTTTCATTTTATTTTAACAACTTATACTATACAACAAGCGTGTCACAAAATAACAAACAGTTCGATGACGCCATTAAAAAAATTGGGCTGCGCAATCACAGCGTGATACAAGTGGGTCGAAAAGGACTTATATATAATATTACATTTTTGGAGTTTGCGCAATTGATTATATATCACGATTCAAAAAAAAAGCATTATCTTCCTCTCAGTGGACACCTTGAGAAACAAAATGATATATCGCGAATGTGTTCAGTCAATTACGATTTCATTGGCCACTTAGAACATCTTGGAGAAGATGCCACGTGTTTCCTACAACTGACAGGTCTGGATAAACTCTACAGTTTTCCACGAATTCACAAACAGAAAGGCAAAACGAGATATACAGAAACGTTGAGTAACTTGCCTCCAGACATTCTTAAAAAGCTTATAGAAGTCTATCGCTTAGATTATGAACTCTTAGGTTACCAAATACCTAATTTTCATTGATAATTATTTCTAAATGTAATCATTGAAATGGTGAATAAACAATGACGTCATATCTGATGAATCAGTAAAAAAATGTATTTTGTGTATAAAGTACAGTTGGGTTGAGTGAATTTGAATAGATAAATATACATTACTAAATGTATTTTGTGTATAAAGTACAGTTGGATTGAGTGAATTTGAATAGATAAATATACTGTAAATTATGTTTGAATTACGCCAAGGGATGCAGAAGTGTTGTTGTCAATGATACCGACAGTTGATCATGCACATATAGCCACTGTAATGGACTAGATTTTTAATTCCTGATTAGAGGCTTCTTTTTTTATTATGCTCATCGTATGATTGCAGAACGATGGGTCATCAAATAAATATTATACCCTGGTACCGTGTGCATATTCTATTAAAGAGCCTCAGTTAGGTAATTTCATCCCATACCATGGTATGTACTACAAATCACCGGCAGTATATTATATCAACCACACAAAGTGAGGTCCGAGATAATACTGTATATACTCTTTACAATGCTGTAAAGAATGTGCACTCCGACGTCTGAACCTAGAAAATGATGTTACATTTGCCTGGAGGAAATGAGGAAATTGCATGGATTAAGTAATGGGATTGCAGGTGTGCAGGTATGAAAGTGAAACTACTTTTATCAATTCCTTTATACATGTCCATGGTTAATTACTTGTCTATAATACTTGGCGAGAGTGTGAACATCTTTTATGATGTGTTATTTGCCGCTATTGATGAAAGTGAAACAAAAGTTAATGTAGGCAAACGTGTAATTCCACTCTAAGAGACAAAATAAGAGAGGGGAATCTAAACGTCAAGAATTTCTTAAATTGCGTGCTGTCTGTTTTTTAACTCGATTTTTTTGAGTCAGATATGACATCTAAGCAAAAACGCATCTGAAGTTGCGCCACGCTAAAATCTGACCTCCCTGTTACACGGTATATCGTAGAGGTGTTTAATCTTCTTACTTTACGTCTGTATTTACTACTAGAGATACCCTCCCTGTGTTCCATGATATAATATCGAACTCACTCGACAACGTCAGTATAGGTAATGACGAGGTTTATAAGGAACAGTTTTCAACTAAAGTTATAGACATGTAGAGCATGATATATCATCTTCTCATATAAACAATCGATTGTTTTAAGGTTTTTTATTTCAAAATTAGACTACTAAGCACAAACCAATCTCTCGGCATCCGATAGGAATGACTGCCATGAATAACATAAATTAATAAAAATATTGACATCAAATGCCGCGCCTCCAATTGTCAATCCAGAAAACGGGGATTCGGTATCATATGGTACCGTTGTAGTGGAAATAGCGATAGAATTTGAAGGAGGAAATGTAGAAACTTGTATCGGACCCGGGGGTGATAAAGCAATGCCGCTAGAAACGTGGATGTCTCGGGAAGTACATTGCTGCCCTAAGTGAGTGAGAATGGTCACCAATATGCTTTGTCTTGGGTGAATTGCGGTTATTTACACTCCCAGCTGTTCCGTTTTCATGACAATCGTAAAAGTAGTACCGGTTACAGAGTGAAAATATAAAATAACATCAAGAACTTTAAATTTTCTTTTACGAATTTATCATTTGAAACACTGCAGTAACGCGTGATATTTTCACTCCTATAACAATACAAATCAGTGGATAACTCACTTGCATGTATGATAATATTTGAATTATATTACTTGAAGGTCAAAAATAACACCAATCACGTGACTTGTATTATCATATTATCATTTGGACGACCGGAGTAACGCGTGATATGTTCATTCCTATAACAATAGAATTCAGCGGATAACTTCTGTTTTGTGCAACTTACAAGAAAATATGGGCAAGAACAAGTCAGTAAAAGAGAAAATTAAATAAATTGTCCGTCGCAGTACACGACAGAAAATATTTTTTTAGCCTTGAAAGGCACTTGAAAAATTAGCTCGAGTGTCTTCAAAATGAAACTAATGCGACGCCATTGTGTCGTCACCGGAAGCGCTGTCCCAGCACAAACCTGTGTCATATGACGCCTTACTAGCCGATTTGGGCTAAAATAGCGCTCCGCCGCCTCTTTACACTAGTGTTTATACACGGAACTTGATATTTTTTTCCAATTTAAGTTGCTTTTCAATCACATATTTTTGTGAAATATTGTTTAGTGAGTGAAATATTAATGTCATAAATAATTCAATCTACGAAACAACTAACAACTAACACATAATAACGATAATCAAATTTGTGTTTGTAGTTCGAAAGTACTTGCGTAATTTCCGGTTTCAACTAGTTCGAAAATAGAACGTCCTTGAACGCGATAAAATCACGCGTAGAACGCCTTCCGAAACAGACACTAGCAGCGTAAACTTATTGCTAATTTGGGCCCAGTTTGTTCTTACATGTTTTCTAAGTTTTATTTATCATTATTAGTAAAAATGCCCCTTAAACGATTTGATATATCCGTAAAATACGTGCCAATCGACGATTGACTTCGAAACGTTCGAAATTTATATAGACATTGGGTCAGATCATTGTTTTTGCATTCGCAATTATCAACACTTTTAAAATCTATCAACAAATAATTAATAAAAATAAAAATAAAATAAAATAAAATAAAATAAAATAAAATAAAATAAAATAAAATAAAATAAAATAAAATAAATAGAATCTAATTTTAATCAGAATGATGTCAACATTGTATTTATGCAAATGACTAGGATAACGCTATTGTTTTTTGCGTGTGTGGCGATAGCTCGTCTTCCTTGGCTTGTATATATGCATTTATACGTTGATTTGTAGATAAAAAATAACATTAGGACGATCCACTAATGTACGTGAATCAATAATTATGTTACAGTTAGTGTGCTGATATTAAATTGCGCCATGAGCGATGTAATGTGTACAAACACAATCACTAAACCAACATTACAGTACTTCATGGATGACGTTTTTCCTGACGCAGTCTAGAAACTTTCGCAACTGGGAATCGTCTGGCGGCGATATACGTAAACTCAATCTCTTCGTTACATCTCAACTCGATGTGTTTACAATCATAGAACTTGGAGTACGTACATGAAGATGTGTGGATACGTATGGGCATGTACACGCAAAATCAGAATAAAGGTCCAATCAACTCAACAACCTGTGTATGTAATATTATATGTAATGCTAGATTACATCGTGTCTGTAATCACAATACTGACGTGTGCATTTACAGTAGAATATAACTATTCCAAAGTTCCGTATATAGAACATGTTGATAATGTATAATGTTATTGTATTGAACATGTGATCAGCAGGTGTTTGTAACAGACACGTCAACACATACCATTGGAGTGTGTGAACAGAATACAATTTACAACTATAGAATATAAGTTGTATTTCTGCAAATATTGATATAGATTTAAAACTGTATTCTGTATATGTACAAGTCATTGGGTATTATACAAAATCAGTTATTACTACATCCTTTTATTATATAGCGGATGTAAATATTGCATATTTGTTGACGCACATGTTTAAACAATCGTACATTGTACAATGACATTTACATAACTATCACATAACCGATTCATTTCATTATAGCGTTATTTGATAACAATTGTTGTATCAAGGGTGGTTTTTGTCTAGACAGAATAATATTATATTGGCCCATAATGACAGAGAAATTGTCTGTGTATACATGAATAGTAAAATCATTACAAATGTATATGTTTATACATATGTTTCGGTAAGATAAAAAGATAATTTGACAGTGTCACTATAATCCATTTAGACTGGCTGTATCCTACACTAGTTACAGACTGTATAATTATACACAAACAAACGTCACAAACGACCGAGATGGAGACGTCTAACAAATATTGACAGTAAAATCACCTGAATTGCCCAGTGAAATTGTTTGCAAGTATCCGGCATGTAAAACTGTCAAAGATAGGTCTCATTATAAATTTGTTTGTGAAAATGTTTATTTTGTTTTTAGAAAGATCACATCATTTGCATGTTACGTGTTGTGATGCAATGTTTCATTTTCTTAATCCATACAACACACGTGCACCGTGGGCAGATGTATCAATGTAGACAAAAACATGTGTTATATGAGCTTTTACGTAGTTCATGCTGCGCTCGTAATGTAAGCATATCTAGAAATTTACAGGCTATATGTTGTTCCCAAAATTTGAAAATTTCACCTTGTTGCACATCGTGAAATATGGGAGTTTTTGACAATGAACTTTGAACCTATGACGCCGAAATCACTTGCCATACATTAAAAGCAAAATATTATACCAATGTGTTTAAACGGCGAAATTTTAAAGTGTCATAAAATGTCATAAAGGTAAAATGTGAAGTTCTGAGGCGGCATATTTCCGCTGAATTATGTTTATTATAATAATAATTTGTCAATGAATACGGCAAATCCTGCTCTGTTAAACGAAATTCGCGACAAGGGCGTTCGATTGCGCATATACACAGTACGCGACGTCTGCCCTCGTTTCGATCACATGTTGGTAAGGGCTCGGGATATGGATATGGACGCTGTCTGCGGAGTGACTCGCCTGCGATGACGTCACATTCGCTCGGAGTACTGGGGGATTATATACAATTATTTCAAATGACATGAGTGTGCATTGCTTTCGCCGTTTGTTGGTTAACAACAGTTTGATGGTTCTCAGACATGATTGGAAAATGAATACTCCCACTTAACATAATGTACATTATGTCCGTTATAATATTACAAATAAAATTGTATTAATTTCATAATTTCCCAAGTGAAAGTTGAGTACAATTTATCGGAATGCAACCCAACCCCACCCTGCTGCGCGTTACCAATATGTTTACAACATTCGATGTTATATTGAAGTTTATTAAAATGCATTTGGCCAGCATATTGATTTTATTTCGAGAGTAAAGTGAAGAGTGAATTGTGGCTAGCTAGCCTCGGTAATAAAAGTAGTAAAACACAGTAAATAAACACAAGACTACACCAGGTGTTCATCAAATGAGATATAATTTCGCAAGATTTCATATTTGATGAACTATCAGGATAGATATGTGTCTATTTTCGTGTTGTATCATTCTGTATTAATAATCCGGGTGCCAAGATAAACTAATGTAAAAAACGACCTCGTTGCTGTATGTAATATATTGTCAAATATGCTCAACTGCTGCAAAATATATAAATCTCTCCGCTTTAAACTGTGTGGTAATAAAAAACATGGCAATTATAAATTAATGGGAAACGGAAACAAAATATTTATTTAGCGTTTTTTTTTCTGGGAATTAATTTGTTGAGGCATATGTTGTTTTTAAAAGCAATACGTTGTTCTACATACACAGTTCTTTAATAATGAATTACTGAATGAGCGAACGTCATAGTCGATTGTAAAACACACGTGTTCTTTTTATTTTTTCGTAAAACGTATTGATTTTTTGGATTTACTCTACTTATGTTGTTTTATAGAACGCAGCTGGAGCTCAACGAATCAATATTTAGCCCGTTTAGCCGTAATATAGTCAACGCAGAGGGCGCTCAGTACGACCGTGCTCCCATTAAATATATTAATGAGGATTACTGCAAACAGTATTCTATCCTCGGGGGCGGAGCTACGTCACAGACGTTCCACGTTGCTAAGACGCGCACCACTGTACCATGTATTTCTATGGGCTCTGTGCACGCTGCTGTGGAACGCCGGTCGAGCCGGTGAAAATTCGAGAAAACAATACAAACTCAACTTTGAAGTAATCCCGAACAATCAAATTTATATATGTTACACAAGTAGGGCTAATCTTGTTGCACTGTTCAGAGGAATCTCAACAATCACCCCAAAGTACTGTTTTCTGCGAGTTTTGGGCCTTTGTTTTCACCGCCGCGGGTTGCCAGGCGGTGAAAATGCCCGGATGTCCGCCCCCGAGGATTACTCGTGTAGTTTGCATCAGTCGCCGTCAGAATGCCATGACGCACTGAACGAAATAATCGATTTATGGAGTTTATACATTCATATCACGTACAACGTAAGTGATCTTGTTGACAACAGGGCGTGTCCAGTCGTTGGCAATGACGTGAACTGACCAGGTATTATTAATACCATCAAGACTGAATTCCATGGGCATCGTATCAGCGATCGTGGGTTAACCTCGTAATATCATACCTCCCCAGAACCTGGGTGTGTAGCTTTTACTCGTGTAACGGTTTTAATTAAATTGTTCTCGCATGGATAACGGCGACAGAGCGCAGTACAGGTGAGTGCTTCTTCATCTGGAAACAGCGTGTTTCCTTCCGAGCCAACGAACTACTTTCCCGACATACTACTGGGTTATCGGAAATATCCACATAAGCCATTAGTCATTGATAGTTTATCTAGTTTTCAATGTTTTTAAATAGAAAAACAATTAGAAGTATAAATAAATATATTATATTATTCTATAATAATTATATTACATTATACTAAAATAATTATATATAATAAAAACACACCGCCGTCTATCTCTTATGATTTCCCTGTGCGTAGAAGGGCCTCGTATACGTGTTAAACTACTAGTGTGGTTTATTTATGTATTGTGACGTAGTTCCTGTTGTGCACTGCATTGTTATTCCCTCTTGTTTTCAGGTATTAAGCAACCCACCTAGCGACAAGCGGTAATATTGCTCTTCTTTGCCTTCATATTACTTACCAGTTCTAAAGTCGTCTGATTATATCGGTAAGCACGTATTTGTTCGTCCATCCAGAACTTGTGTTTTTAAAAGTCTTGTGAATTTACAACAGACGCATGTAAAGTCAGTTACGTTCTTAGTCACAATGTATTAATGGGCATTGTGCGCGCTGATTTTACATATGGGCTGGGGATAGATATGTGTGTAATATATAAATTAATTATTTCACTATATTTCTATCATAGTTATTCTAATTGTGTAGTAATATTTATTGCAATTAATATCCAGAAATTGCAATAAAAAGTGTTGCTTCCTTATAAATATTTATTTACCATGATAAAACAGGCAAAATATAATATGCGAATTCATCATTGCTATGCATGTGTTATTTATTAGTCTTATCGTCCTGAATATATACTGATATCGGATTTACTCCCAAATATAATGTACGTCACATATTAAAGATTCAAAAAATCTTATCATGCTTTAAGATTATCAGCGTGCGAGCGGAGCTCAAAATAACCATTACTATTACCGTACTTCAATCTATTAAGATATCTTTAGACACAATGCTAATTCGTGACTCCCAACACGGATGCTTCCACACTTCATGAAATATTCAATTGCATGCTAGGCTCGTGTCTCCACTTGCCGACGTCTGCGGGGTCGTTAATAGAATTTGAATGAGATATATTCCTAATCAGTCAATACGGAAATATAACCACTTGGCAGAAAATACTGTATAATCTATATATATAAGGCTCATTTATAGCCAGTATGTGTATGTATGTCAATGCTCAGTTAATAACTCCGGGATTTACGTGCCGTGTATACGGAGGTCATTATGTCGCTAATGATTAAAATCAATACAGTTATCAGTTGTATTCAATTTGGCGTATAATAGTGGCTTTAAATTTGCTGAACGTATTAGTCAGGGTATATTCAAAATTGAAATGTAACTATCGATTTTTGTGAAATCTGCTGATTTCCAACAATATATTGTCAATTAAAGACTTACAACAAAAGTACTAATACAACTGAATAAATTAACGATCAGTACTGATTTTCATTATTATATGATTCAATTTGAAATATTCATTGTCCTACGTTACAGGGTTTACGTTGTCAATTTCCGATGGCGTCCTGTTCGATACCTTTAGATGAATTGGATGACGAATTTCTTCGGTGTCCGACGTGTCGAGAGAGATTTTCGTCCCCGAAGTTGTTGACGTGCCAGCACGTCTTCTGCGTTCAATGTTTAGAACAATGGATTTCGAAAAAGTCGGGAAAACTGCATTGTCCTATTTGCAGGACAGAACACAAACTGTCAAGCGAGGGTGTTGATGGGCTACCCGATAGCTTACTGACAAACAACCTGCTGGAATTAGTCTGTGCTCACCAAGAAATCCAAGAGAACTGCGTTTCAACGGATGAACCGTTTGACGTGCATGAGCAATCGGAAACCTCACTACTTTCGCCATTTTGCCCTGATCACCCAGATAATGACCTTGACATACTGTGTGAGACGTGTTCCAGACCGATCTGCCAGCAGTGCGCAAAGACTACTGATCACAATGAACATGACCTTCTTAATCTAGCAGACGCCTGTCGAGAGCGGCGTAAGCATCTACAAAATGTTCGAGACAAACTTGACGCTAATGTTTGGCGTGTTCAACAGAAGGTTTCAACTCTCGGAGTAATGGTCGAACAGCTTGATAAAGATAACGATATAGCAGAGAGCCAGATAAAAGGACACTGTGATCTTTCAATTGACATGATTGCAAAGTACGAAGCCAAACTGTTGGATGAACTCGAAGACAAGTTTCAAAGACAGCTAAATGGACTTCGGGAAGAGGAGAAACAAGCAGAGTTGCCCGGTTGGATGGCATGGTCCGAGTTTGTTGATGGTACTATAAGCTGTTCGAATGATTTAGATTTTCTAAGGCGGGAAAAAACAATTCGTCAGAATTTTGATCGTTTAGAGATGAAAATGAACCATGATATCCCGACGTCGGAACTCTCGTATTCCCTGAAATTCCACAGCAACGATGATTTTTTAAACAAATTCGATGCCTCAAATTTAGGTACAATTTGTTTGGAGAAAATACATGAAGTTGTCGTGCCAGTTACGCATGGAGAAAGCACCAGAACTACGGTATGTACCCCCAATTTTCGTGTTTTCCTTACTATTGATAAATTCTGGTGCTCTTACAATTGGACAACTAGAAGTCTGGAATATCCGCACGCTCTTGCGATATCACCTAATGGCACAATGTTTGTGGTTGATAGTAAGGAACACATTAACGTGTTTAGCGCCAAGGGTGAGTTTATCCGCCACTTTCGGCCAAGCTTCACGTCCAACAAGCCCTGGCCCGTGAACACATTCGACATTACTGTAGTAAATGAAGACGAGTTGGCCATAACTGATTTGACAAGTAAACGGGTCTTCATCTGCTCCTTGGAGGGACGAATTAAGAGGCGGTGCGGAGGGTCACCGCTGCGTAGTCCGGTCGGCATTGCCTATGGAAAAGATGGTAAAATTTACGTCGTCGATAACAAAGCCTGCCGAGTTGTCGTATTTGCTCTAAGTGGAAAATGCCTGTACTACATTGGACACCACGACAGCGGGCCTGGAAGATTGAAGAATCCACAATACGTGGCCGTTAACAGTTGGAATCACGTGATTGTGACTGACACAAATGACACTTCTAAGAATAGAATCTGTGTATTTGATTCCAGAGGCGAATTCATCTACGAATTCGGGCAAAGCAGCATGGATGACGGGCACATTCTTGCCCCACGTGGAATAACCTGCGACCAGCAAAACAATATTATAGTATCGAGTTACCGTCGTGTTCTCATACTGGGCCCGGACGGTACATTCCTTGGAAGAGTGGATGGAGCTGAAGGAGAGACCATCCAGGATCCACGTGGAATTGACACGGTGGTAGTCAACGGGAAACTGCGAGTTGTCGTGGCCGATAACAACGCCGGACAGGTGAAAGTGTTTGAACAGACAAACACACACTAATGGAGTGCCTAACTATGTCACATCTCATTTGGAAGAACCAGTGACAAATTGTATGGCAACATACACCCGGGCATATACTAACAAAGTAAATGGTTCACTGGCCATTACTATATTCGACATGGTTTTAACATGAAGACTTACACGCGAGATCAGGCTTGATAATAACACAACACATTTTCATTTTTATTTGTAATATATATATATATATATATATATATATATATATATATATATATATATATATATATATATATAATTAGCTTGATATCGCAATACGGGATACAAAATACCTATATTTTAAAACAAAGCAAACGTGAGTTTCTTCATTACAATTCAATGTGAAACGTGTGAACAGATGCCTAATTCTCAAACACGTGTTCAAACACTAGGTAGCAAAGTTCAAACAACGATATTGCCGTGGAACAACATGTTTAGGTTACAGAATGATAAGGCAATTATCTAACACTACATTACGACGAGCTTTGTCACAGTTATTAAATATTTATTACCTATTTATTAATGCATCATCATCTTTGGAATTGAATAGTTGGAGTGGAAAAGAACAGGTCAAAGCCTCGTGGCACTGTTTCTAAACACGCGTTCTTGTTCTGCTGTGTTTGGACCATTTTACGTTGTATATTTTACGTTGTATATTTTACGTTGTATATTGCAATGCATGCTGGGTGTCATTAATGATAACGGCAAATGTTTATTTTAGTATTTCAGCCTTTCATCTGTTCAAAAAAAATATAGCAAACGTAGTTCAACTCATGCATTGATAATCAATTTGCGTGCATGGCGATTATAAATTTATTGCAATACACAGGTTTATTGATAGATGAGTATTAAAGTACATGGTTGGTTGGTATTTGTTACCAAATGATGAACTGTTACTTCTAAACGTGTTTAATCACACATGGCATACATATTGATCAGCACACAAGGATTGTTTGGCAGAATTTCTTAGTGACAGACATTTAATTTAATCAGATGAACATACCATGAAAATACATATAATATATAGTGACGTAGATAGATTACAAAGACACGTTTAATATTATTTAAGAAATGATCTTGTATTGTAATGGATTCATGTATGCATAATAACTACCTGATATTTGCATCGTGACGTCACCATGTTTGTTCGCACGTCACTGTTATCGTCACATTATCGTATGCAAATGACAGTACATAGTCAGTGTATACTTATCAGTACAAGTGTTAAGTTGTTGTTTTTTGCAATCAAAATTTATTATATTGATATATTTATTAAAACTATATAAAATATTGAAGTGTTTCATTCCTTCAAGTGTGTTACCAGTAAAACCCGTGATTTGCATAACATTCGTAATATGTAACGAAAATCATTCATAAATCATTAAAAAAAATAGTGAAAAGTGGATAATATTTTTATAGCAGCGAGATCGAATCTTTCGAAAAATAGTTATGGTTGTTTGTCTGAATTGGGACCCCCCCCCAAAAAAAGTACCTGAAAAACCGTCCACAACATTTTGAGTTATCTTGCAATGATGACAATCTCTTTTTCATGGTAACAAGATAAAGATATCTTCCGAAATCCAACCAATTTGCTCTTATCGCTGTGGCTGCAATACTGAAAATGCATCCATCATATTTTTGAGTCATTTTGAGTCAATTCTAAAAAATGCTGTTTTCATCAAACCGGACCGCCATATCTTCAAATATCTTATCTATTGACTCTTGTTTCAAAAGCAATAACTTTTGAAATGCATGGGAATTCGCCAATTATTATTACGCTATCAATTCGAAATCAGAGTCATTCCCGACATTTTTGCTCCATTCGAACCAAATCTTTATAAGTTGCCAGACTAAGAATATGCTTTCTTTTATTTATTATTTTGATGAATAAAAACCTGGAAACAACTCGCGCATATCTCAAATAATGCACCAAACGTACTAATAGATATGTTGTCTTTTACCCATATGCATCTTCGCCAGCCAAGAACCATTTATTCGGCCGAAGCCTCAACATTAACTCTTGGCATATTTTCACCACGGTGTATTGTATGTCGCACGCCCTCAAACGATTATAAAATTCACTTTGGCTCATTTGCATCACTCAATCAGAACTCACGAAGGGAACTGCACATTACTTGGTGAAATTAAAATGGCGGAACAAATAAACGTGTTGTTAGCTCATGCGAATCAGAGCAAAACTTACACGCCGCCATTGTTTTAATCTGTGATGAGTTTCCCGATCTTCACATTTATAATACAGCAACTTTGATTGGTGGCGACAGCTCCTTGGTGCGCCCAATCAAATGACTCAATTTAGCTGCTGTGAAATACAGCTTTTCCTAACACGATCACGCACGGGTTCATGGACCGGTTATGAATGACCGGCTTTAGCGAAACTGTGCGATTCGGACGATGACCCACATGACTTCAGTGAAAGAGGCAACATTGGTGTCTAGTATTGTTGATGTAGAATGTAATTATATAAGTCTGAAATCTACAAATAAATGTCATGCCAGTCACCATCGTTCATTTGAGTAATTAGTACACATTATATTATAATTACGTGACTGCTAATGACTAAAAAATCAGTGAAAGCCGAGTATAGAGCTCGATGGTTGACGTTTTGCAGTGTTAATTATTCTCTGTAAACATGTAACATTTCACGTATGCCCATAAATACGACGATGTATATTTCACCTTGCTCTAAAGCCTGTATATAACGAGAATTGATAAAGCTACGCAAACCTTACATGATATGCCAATACACGTTTTTGAGCCAGGCTTTTATATTACATAGGCCAGTTCTTTGTTAAAAGAAATGACGGATCCGGTTTTTGGTGTTATGTCAGTGCTAATTATTGCCATTTTCTCTGTATGTTACATCTCGGATTACTAATTAAGTTAGCGGTTACATCCTAAACATGCCATACACTGTAATCGTTGACACCCTTGAAAACCACGTTTATCGGTTGAGCTTACGCAATTATCAATAGCTCAGACAACGAATAGAAATGTGACACTGGCGATCTGTCCATGGATCGGGTAGCTCGTTAGTCTTGCATTAATTTCCAATCACTTTGTCTGCTTGCCTGTAAGATATAGGTTTACATATTGTTTTGGCATACTAAATAGAAAAATAATCTGTCTCCGTAAAATTTCTTTTAGAACTATGTCTGAAACCGTCTCGTTTGATGCAAACGGTAGAGCAAAGTGTACCTGGTTTACAATTCGTTTGTTTCATTGGTAGTTGTATTTAAATGAGCGTCGCTGTTTTTTTCATTGAAAGGACGTTTATATATATATGTCAGTTGATGTTCTCTTAGGATTAATGAGACGGAGAGATAAGCATTGTCTATATGTGTATATGCACGAAATGAACGGATAGCTATTATTTTATTTTATTTTATTTACACGTACGCATGTAGCAGCATGTACCTTTCTTGTAATGTGTTATATTGTTTACAGCTGTGGGCATGCGGGTGGGCTTATATATTATTGAAGAGTTATATCATGTGACATTCATGGTGCACTGTTATTACGAATTCATATAACCCCCAAGGTGCAGCAGAGTTCTTATTATATTGGAACAAACAAAGTCGGGGACGTTGGCGTAGGTGTGTTTGTATGTGTGTGTGGATATATTGAAATATATTTACGACCTGAATAATTTAAGTGTACGATGACGTATGAGTACATATATTACTATTCTCTACTCGTTAATAACAGCTGTTTTGGTGGCATGTCTGCTTTAAAGACAACGACATACAACGCGTGTATGTAATTGAACAATTCCTGTCTACGATTACATGCAGAAAGTTGAAAGTTCAGCGATGACGTCAATTGATTGCATTTGTCTGAATTCAGCGCTGTCATTCAGATCAAAACATCGTCTTTTTTATTTCAGCTTTTGCGACAGGTCGTGATGCAGCTTTACAGAATGAAGCAAACATTTAATTACACTCCGCAAACAGATTGATCACTGTAGTATTAAAAGTGACACGCTGGCGCTTTCAGCGATTCGACGGATCGAATATTAATTTTCAGATCGAAGTGAATACGTACTCATTCAATAACGCAGCTGGTCATCATAAAATGCTTACAGCGAACCTATTGACGTGAAATGAAAACGTGGACAAAACACGTTGGCAGTGAGATCACTTGAATCGGCCCTGTACTGGCAATACCACATTTAATAGGCTAATACGCATTTGAATAGAATGTGTGTCAAAAAAAAGAACTAATGAAAAACCAAATGCTTTCAGCTTTGCAATAAAAATGCCTTTGTATTTTTACTGAACTTGAAATTTCAGTTGATTTTAATTAATTAAAGACGCATTAGGTTTTTTTGGCAAAAATTGATTAAAACGGACAATTTATATTATATGTATTATATTATATGTAATCCATAGCTATATCGAATTATTCGGAAATGCGACATCTTTATCATATTAAATGGAACATACATAAAATAACAGTCAAAGTGAAAAACCGAAAGTGTTACGTTTTACACATTTTATGTAATTTAAGTAATCAATAAATGACAGTAAGTCAAGTCTGAAATACTAGTAAAACATATTTAGGCACTGATCATCTACTTTTCATCGAACATAAAAATATGATATTTGCCAAATAATGCAGATGTGGTATTTATATGCTATATATCGCTTGTCAATGAATTCTAATTAATTAACGTTTTCTACTGATTTGGGCAACCACAGTGAACAAAAAGAAACCATGATAATGCAAAAGCACCATAGACTGTTACATCTTTATATAATACGAATTATTATAAAAAAAATATTTGTCGATTTTTGGAAAACGCCACGTTAAATTACTAACACGTTATATTCATGCATCCCTGTATCAGAAACTGACGCCTGACACTGAACCAGTTCAAATTACAACATTAACCATACTCTGTGGACAAATATAGACGCCGACTATTCCATTTGTCATGAGATGAACCGTAGAGTTCCGTCTATTGAGTAGAACAATCCTTACCT